TTTTTTTTTTTTTTTTTTTTCTTTTTTTTTTTTAAAGAAAAGGCTCTGCTTACATTTCTTTTTCATTCACTCGTGTCAACATACGTGAGGGGGAACACCTTCCTGGATGGCCAGATGTACTACCTAGACTTTCTCTCCCCATCGTTGGGTAATATGACCTTGACTCTGACCACAACTTCATACCTGAGCACAAGTGAGTCTATGGACGTTCCTCCAACTCTTTCCCGGATGCCATGGCTGTGCTTTTGGCCATCCCAAGGCACAAGGCGAACTCACTAGGCTGTATCCATGAACGCTTCAGCTACTCCTCAACAGCACACCTTCCAGAGGCTCTTGTTTTCTTTGTGACCAATGAAAGCACATTTTTGCCTCATCTTGGAACTGGACAGAAATGAATTGGACCAAAGATGCAGCCAATATAGCAGGTGTACAAGCCCCCCATGCTAGGGAATATTGAGCGTAACTGACGTGAGTTATTTTCTTTGGGAATCTAACATTTTTTAGGTTGGGTACTGGGTAACATTCCCCTGCTAGAATTAATCATCACAAGGGTTTGCGAGGATGGTGTTATAGCCTTGCTTTACAAGTCAGGAAACTGATACTTCCCTCAGAGAGTTAAGCAACGATGTTGATTTGGCTGTAAGTGCCAAGAACCAGCCTTTGGATTCTCTTCTCTTTGGTCGCCATAGTCACGACAGACTCACACTAAATAAACAGATGTTGCTTTGGGGGAAGTTTAATTCATCTAGTGTGGTGCAATTGTACAAAAGTTCCCCTTTTTTGGGACCGATGAAGGGCAGCAGAAGAGTAAGGAACTTCTCACACTCCCTACTTTATTAGCACGCAATATTGTTGTACAAGTTATATTCGAGTCTGCAGTAAGTCTTACCAAGTATTACGTATACATGTGATGAACACGAAGCACTGAGAATCAAATGAGCCATGTCTCCTGAGATGAGCTCACTGTCTGCTGAGTGGTGATGGGGTAACAGTTAACACAGTGAAATAAGTGAATCCCAAGGTGGACATCAGAAAATGCATCACTCTGAGGATGAGGCATCTGGTTTGTGTTACTTCCACTGCATCACAGTGAGGAGACCATCCCCCCATCCAGTTCCCTGCACATACACAAATCACAACACCCTTTGTGTTTTCCAGGTTGTGTGTGTGCATCAGTGATGCCGACAAAGTGGAAAAGAACGTCTACCACTCAGAGAACTTCTACCTGTCACCGTGGAAGATGTCCGCCCGGTCAAAGCAAAAACAAAAACAGATCTCTACCCCTTCTCAGGACCGATGCAAAACTGACTTTTTCAGGTAAGAGATATTATATTCAGTGTGGATAAAATGGAAGATTCTGGATCTTGTCCCTCTGTCTCATAGAGATCAGTGAAAAGCAAAGACGTTGACATTATTTGCATAAAAATCAGCGTATTTGTTCTTTCTTTTTCATCGTTATGACTTTTTATTTTGAGATGGTTTAAGACCCACAGGAAGTAGCCAAAGTAGTACAGAATGAGCAAAAATGTTCACTTAACCCAGCTTCCCTTAATGATGATATCTTTTATAACCGTAGTCATTGTCAGGGCGCCTGGGTGGCTCAGTTGGTTGAGTGCCAACTCTTGATTTCAGTTCAGGTCATGATCCCAGGGTCGTGGCATCCAGCCCTGAATTGGGCTCAGAGCTGAGCATGAAGCTTGCTTGAGATTTGAGATTTTCTCTCTCTCTCTCTCTCTCTCTCTCTCTCTCCCCCTCTGCCCCTCCCCCACTCTTCTCTCTCTAACTACAATAACAACAACAACAAAAATATCACTGCCACTAGTAACTCAGATATAGATTTTATTTCAAGGTAATATTTGACAGGCTGGAATATATTGCCGATGAACACAAGAATTTCTCAGTGTTGCTTCGTCTATCCACCCTTTCTCAATAGGATATTTCTATACAGGGTACCATGGCTTGTAGGACTCAATAAACCACTTTATTTGGTTGAACCAATGCCAGTTACTCCAATGCCAATCTCTAGTCAAGTGAACCATCGTAGATGATTAAGGTCAGGGCTATCAATAGAATTCTTGCCAGCATGGGCATAGCTCATATCCGTGGTGTCTAATATGAAAACCGTTGTCCACTTACGATGTTTGGCCACTTGAAACATGGCGAGCTCAAGTGAGAAACTGATTTTAAATTTTAATTAATTAAAATTTAAGTTTAAATAGGCATGTGTGTCTAGTGGCTATCATATTAGACAGTACAGGTCTTGGCCCAAAGGATGCTCCCTTGCTCTTAACCCCAATCTTGATATCAGCCAGCCAAGGGACCCTGGACCCCAGCTCTCAAGTGTGAAGAAGAAGAAAGGACCTAGCATGGGACTTTTCTGTTCCATATCTTGACAAGGATCCCCAGTGGAAGAAGGAAATAAGCCTGATAGCCATCATTTAGCATCTCGGGTGTATCTCATCATGTGGAGATAGAAAAGGAGCATTAGTACTGAATGGGTTCTTTTCCTCTTACATTTTTAAATGTTTACTTATTTTGAGAGAAAACAAGAGAGCATGAACAAGGATGGGGCAGAGAGAGAGAATCCCAGGCTGGCTCTGCACTGCCAGCGCAGAGCCCAACTTGGGGCTTGAACCCAAAAACCATGCGATCATGACCTGAGCCAAAGTCAAGAGTCTGTTGCTGACCAACTCAGCCACCCAGGTGCCCCTGTTCTGGGTGGGTTCTTACAGAACATAATCTCACTGACATCCTGGAATTTCACTCACTCACATTAGGGTCCCATTCTCTCGGGCACCAATGATGGGTGAAGGCAGAATATAAGCTAGGAATCTTCTCTTCTCCCTAAACTTCTCAACAAGGTCACTTAGGTCAACAATCTAGTATGAAACAAAATGTTACAGCAAGTACTTGGTGTTGAGAATCGACTGAGTTCTGCTTCCCGGGATGGAGAGAGCAATGTGGAATGGGAAATAGAGACACAGTGAAATCTGGTATGAAGCGGGGTGAGGTGGACTCATGGGGGCTTGAGAGAAGGCTTCCATAAAGACAAAGCATGGGGTCCATGGCTTTTAACATAAAATCACGCTGCCAAGATTGTCCTTCCACCAGGCCTCCGTGCTGTATTCGTAACACAACTTCCGTTCTGTTTGCAGTGGATATGATGACGTATCTCACCCCCGCTCTTCGGCTGCGCAGATACAGGATGACCAGTTTTCTACTTTCTCAGAAAGTGGAGGATATTGTGAAGTGTTGATATCAAAGCCACCACCGCACATCACTGCTCTTGGAACTGAGTCCTGTGAGGAAGAGATTTCCTGGTAAGGGGAATGATTATATGGAAAAAGCTGTAATCGTACTGGATTCTGTTCCTCGATACCAGAGGTGCGCACAAGAATCAGGGGAATTTGGTCATTTATATGGGAATCAGGGGGAGAACGAATGAGGTTATACAGTCTTACCAGCAAACCCACAAATTTATGAATGAGATCAACCACCTCTTCTTCCAGGAAGGCAGGATGAGAAGCTATACACGAAAAGGCAGTCATGGATGCAAAGATCACTGTGTCATTGGTTAAGCTGGGAACCAAAACAAATTACTAACTCAGTGCCTTGGGAATCTGGCTCATGACGAGGCTGAAGGACGGAGGGGGGTCCCTGAAGGGGTGTGCTGGAAAATATTCAACACCAGCTTCCTCAGGGGAGGGAGAGAGCTTTTATTTGTAGTGCCGTCCAATTTCTGTGGGGTGATTACTTGTATCATGGTGGATTTCAAACTAGTAACATAACCTCAAGAGTACAGAGTATAGAGGCGCCTGGGTGGCTCAGTAGAAAGAGCTTGCAACTCTTGATCTCAGGACCCTGAGTCGGAGCCCCATGTTGAGTGTAGAGATGACAAAAGAATAAATAACAAACTTAGAGAAAAGAGTGCAGAATACAGTAAGATGTAGAAAAATGCGAGCGTTTATTTATTTGTAATATGGTCTATTTAAATGAAAGTCTTAGGTAACTTAATTCTTTTTTTT